CAGCTTTAGATATATTATATTAATATATTTTTAATTTTATTGTATATACATGTGAATAATTCATATCACAATAGATACTTCCTAATTCCTAGAAGTTACATATGAAAAGATTCAATATTTGTAGCCGTTTTAAGAGCAGGATGTAATAAGTTATGACAATCGTTCTGTTTGAAGAGTTAAATTATGTTCATCCTTATTCCATGATGCTATTATTTTAAAGAAGAGGTAAGCAATATCATAACCAAAATTCAACAGAAGATAAAAGCTTTTTTTAATTTTTTAAAGTTAAAACATCTGCAGAAAGCAAAATATTGCCTCTTCCTATTTTAAAAAAATAAAATAATTTGGGTCGTGAAAGGCTGTCTTCTCCCATATAATCCAGAGAAGAACTGACTAAAGCAATTCAAGTGCACATATGCAAGCCTTTTCAATGGGAGACTCCCCAATTATGGAATTCCCTATCATGAGAGATGTCTGATGCTTTCCCTTCAAATGTCTGTGGAGAATTTAAATTGGATGTTTGATGTGATTAACCTGTGAGGTTTCTAGCATATAATTTATGGTTAAGCCTTAACTATCTTTTCCAACTGTTTAAGATCAGAGTCTCTAAATCTCTCTCTCTCTCTCTCTCTCTCTTTTTTTTTGCTGAGGTGAAAGCAATAATAGATTCCCCCTGATGGATGCCTTACAGGCATCCCAGAGAATTAACATATTATTTAAGCTCTGAAAAAAGAGAATCTCATAAGGGAGAAATATTCAAATAATTGTCAAATGCAATGTTTAGAGTCGGTGAAGTATATTTATCACATTTATATGGCCACCCATCTCACAAGAAGTGACTGGATGGTGTACAGCAATCAACAAAAATAACAGATATAAAACCAATCATTATAAAACTATAGAAGTCATTATTAAAAATGAAAAAGTATAAAAATTTAAAATATACAAATCAAACAAAGTAAAAGGTTAACCACAGTAGAGCCATCTAGGAATGTTTCTAGGTGTCTAAGATCCTCCAGACCTGGTGACATAAACAGGTCTTGAGTTACTTCTGGAATAATAATAGGGATGAAGCTAACCTGGCTGCAGGATGGAGAATATTCCAGTTGCCACGGCAGAGAATACCCACCTTCTGGAACCCACAAAATATAGATCCTTGAGAGATGGTACCCACAACATGTCTTCTCTGGCAGAACTATGTGACAGGCTAATGTAATGAAAGGCTGTTCCTTAGCTAACCCAGTTCTATGCATGAAGGCTTTAAAGGTTAAAACCAGCGCCTTGAATTGGTAGACTAGGGCAGACTGGCAGCTAAAGCAGTTTGCGGAGAAAGTATAATATGTGCTCTTCTGGGAGTATGCATAATGACTATGCCACTGCATTCGGAACCCATGGAAACTTCAGTGGCAACCCCACATAATGCACATTACAATAGTAATCCAGTCTGGAGGTGATCAAGGCATAAGTGCCTATGAGCAGAGTTTCCTGATCCAGAAAAGTACAAAATTAACACATAACATGAAGCTGTGCAAAGGTCCTCATAGTCACAACTGCTATCTGCCACTTCAAGCAGGAAATGTGATTTAAGGAGGACCAAACAAGCCATAGTTTGCCAAGGTTCAGCTGAAGCTTGATTTTTCCCAGCCAGGCCCTTACAGCCTCCAGGACAGAGGTGTATAGTTGGTTTCATCAACAAACTGATGATACATCATTCTATAGTGACTGATGAGCTCCCCAGTGCTTCATGTATAGGAGAAGAGAGAGAGCACTGAATCCCGAAGCACTAAATATACTAGAGCATAACATCTCAATTATAACTGACTGGAATTGACTCCAAAAAAGGAGCCAAACCAGCACAACACTGCACACACCTACCACAGTCCTCTGAGCTGATCCAGAAAGATATCATGGTTGATGGTATAGAAATGAAATAGGGCGAGCAACATCCTGCCCATACCAGAGATTATCCAAAAGTGCTACCAATGCCATTTCAGTCCCAAGCTTGGCACCAGATTTGTTCCTGTCAATCTGGCTACATTGACTCCCTGACCCAAGTGTTGCTATATTGTAACTTCCACAGAGATAGGTGTAGTGAGTTTCTATTCTTAGGTCATACCCTGAACAATCAGAAGTAAGCATTAGGAAGCGACTCAGATTAACCTCACTGTGATTTTGCATAGTATAAGAAAGGAGTGAGGTAAACTATGACCTTCTTTCAAGGTTCTGTTATTATACCCTTCAAAAAATAAAGCTAAGTTCCAGTAGTCCTTGCATTGTCTACTTCCTGATCTGACCTACATCAAAGGGTTTACATTTTCCCAGCATTACAGTCATCTTCACTTCAGTGAGCATACTAAATAGCAGTTACATTAAGAAAAAAATTTAAAATGTAAATATCAGTCTAAGTCAGCAGTTCTCAAACTTTCTCATAATGCACCTAGCAGTCCCCAAACTGTGTGCCATGGTGCCCCGAGACACTGCAGTGAATTTACTAAAGGTTCCTTTTATTAAATAATCCTGCAGCACCCTTGTGAGTTTACTCCTGGGGCTCCACAGCTTATAGTTGGATCTAAGTTGAGAGGCAAAAAAAGAATACAAAAAGAAATATCCACCCCAACAGTGCTGTTATTTTTTTAAAAGGAGGGAGTGACTACAATTTACACCTCTAGTGCAGCTTAGATGACTTTCTCTCCACAATCCTGGGAATAAAAAGATAGAAAAGTATATACTAAACTCATTAACAGAAAAAAGACAAAAGAGAGTGAATATATAATACATTAATGTGTAATAATAACATTTACTTGTTTACAACTTTGCTGACAAGTTTTGGAAAGCTTTCCATAGCTATAGAAACTTAGTTATTAAGTGATTTTATAGCAATGAAGAAGGATTTTATATATTTTATGTTGTTGATTTTCCAGGTAATTTGATCTCAAGTAACAGTTTGGTATTCTCTATTTTGCAGCTTCTACCAATAAGGGATTTGATTAGATGTTGTTTTTCCTTTTCATCATAGCTTGAGTTCCTCATTTTTTAAATGAGTCCTGTTATTGTATCATCTTTGTCATTGAAAATGTACCTATTACTAAAAGTTGCAGATGGTGTTCTACTTCCTCAGGCTGACAAGCTACTGAAGCCATGCAATGTTTTCCTGAAAACAGGCTGTATATTAAAAACATGCAGCTTCAGTAGTTCATAAAAACATTGTGCGACTTCAGTGGTTTGTTGACTCAAGGAAGACAAATGCCATCCACCATTTTTAGTAATAGATAACCCAATTATAAGTATGTGTTATCGCTAAGTCAGACATTCTTAACCTGGGACTGCTTGTAGTTGCCCGTAAAATAAAAGACATTTGATGGTAAACTTAAGGGTGAAATTGGCAAATTATTCTTGTTTTTAAGAGATTCCAGATTTTTATCAAACTTTCTTTATAATACAATTTGTCATTTTAAATTATTTTCTTCTTTCATTTCCTTGTATTATGAATAAATCTTTTGACTAAACCAGCTGCTTCTGTGATTAATATTCTATTATTTGGAGATTATATCATTCCATGATCCATGATCCATTTTATTATGTGAAATGCCATGTATGTATACTTCTCTTCTAGTTATTGAAGAAGGCAGGGAATTGGTAGGAACATTTTTTTCCTAGGAAATTATTATCACAGGTTGCACATTATCACAGGTTCCATCCGCACCCTACAATACACATTTGTGTATGTGGATCTAAGGGAATCAAAACCTGTTTCAGTAGACATGCAAGCCTTATTTTACTTACTATGCATAAAAAAGAAAATATTAGTTATTTCAGGCGTCTCTGTATTTAAAAAACAGAATTGTAATGCTATATGCATTCAAGAAAACATGATATCAGCTCTAGAGCCCTATGACATGGGATCTCATTATTTGAAGAACCAACTGCTTCCTGTGGTTTATGCTGCCCAAAAGTAGGTACTCCAGATCCCCCCAATCAAACAGTGTCATCTTTTGGGACACAGGAAGCACTTTCTCTGTCACAGCAGCAGCTTCCTTGAATGAATTACCCTTGAGATCCAAACAGTTCCTACTATGATAGCACTCCAGAAGGCTTTAAAGGGTGTCTGTTTCCCAGCCTTTGGGATAGCATGGATGGAATCCCCTTATTACAGGTGTTTTAAGTATGTTATATATGTTTGGATGAGAATTGCCATTTTATTAATTCCTGTTTGTTATTTTCCTTACTGCATTTTGTTTGTATATTGTGAGCTGCCCAATGTTGCTTTGAAATTAGGCAATACTGAAATCAAATCAGATAAATAAGATAAGGCATTTTGCTTTCCATATTGTAAATTCCCACATCAAGTATCCAGTCCAAATCAGTGTGCCAAAAAAGTATTTTATATATAAAACAAACCCCAAAATTTTATAAAAACTATTGTTTGGGAATATTCCAAACTGGGATAGGGAAAAACAAACTTATCCAGATAGTTTATCGGTCATTTTTTTTAATGACATACAGGTATTAATTGCCTATTTTGCTTCAGTTCACAGAGAAAAACAAAGGTCTACATTTTTTCATAATAATTTTATTAAAAAGTACAACTACAGCATTAAAAGCCTTTCATGAGATAGGCTGTTGTATAAATTAGGCTAATAAATAAACTAAAACAAACTAACATCATCTTTTGCTAATGAGTGAAGACAATTCATCCATTGCTGTAAAACCTGTCAATCCAAAGGTTCCTCATAGCTGAAATGTAGTTAACAAGCAATCTCCAAAAGTAATTGGTTTAGAACACTTGTGGGCAATCTCAAGTCCTCTCCTTGTCCAGAGAGGAATTACAAAGAGCCTATCTGCTTACTTGCTCTTTATTGCAGCAGTCGTCAGCTCTACTTTTAGCAGATTCATATTCAGTTTGCCATTTCTTCCCCAGAAGTTCACAAAGGTCTACTGTTTTTGAACTTTAGTTGCCTTTTAATCATCTAGGTTGTGTATTTTGTTCCCATGTCTTACAGAATAAAGCTATTATGGAACGTGTTACCCACTTGTCTGATACAGTAATTGGGCTTGAATCATTTATCGGGTCTGAGAGAAAAACCAATCCATTATACAAGGATTATCATGGTGAGTTCTATCCTTAGCAATACCATCATTCCATCTCCCCAAAAGAGCTTTTTAAAAGTGTTTTAAGGGCATTTATTCTCCAATTGGAATATTTGCTCTAATGTAGCATTTTATTTCTTTTTTTAAATTAATCTCTTAGTTCATCTTAGTTCATCTCGCAAATAAACATTAGACTATTTTTTACTACAATGCATTAAGTTTGCTAAGGAAACATAGCAATTCCTTACATGTTGTCAAACTGTATTACCAAGGCATGGCTCAATCAGATGTAAAGAGGCAGCCTTTGAGAAATTCATATGCAGGGAAGCTTTGGCAATCATCTGGCCAGTGAGCTAAAATTGTCATTAAATCAATATTTTGATCTGCCAAGTTGTAGTAGAAATGCAAAAGAGTTATATATTTCACTGGGCAGGGAGATGAATGAACTAGCACAAAGGAGAGTTTTATTTCTGATTATTTCAAATTACTGATTTTAAATCGCGTTTATCAGAATATCAGAAGTATGAACATGAATATAACCGTATCTCTGTTATAAACATTTAATTACTCAATTGTTTTAATGGTTTATAATTGAAAGTATTTTGAAAAAAATCTGGGCTATTTGTACAAATATTTGTAAACATATTTATAACCTAATTTTAGACAATTTTTAAAAGACAGTGAAAATTTTCATACTGCTATTTATTGATAAAATTACTTCCAAGTAATCTGGGCTGACATTTTGCTAGATGCACTTCTTTCAGATTTGAAACTGAACTCGGCAACAGATGTTAACTCTTATATACTGCCTATGTTCAAAGGAGCAGAATGTCCCCAACTAATCAGTAACTGTCATGTAGATGGCAGCTGATAATCATTCTCCCTATTTAAATTATTCTGTTGTTTATAACTTTGTATTGCCTCTAATAATTTTGAGGGGAATTACATCATATCACAGTTGCTGTTTTTCAGATCTGTTTTGAGAGTTAGCCACTGTAATTGACATTTAGGCATTGAAATTATTTAGTTTTATAGAAATATCTAATCAAAAGGTTTAGATTCAAATCTGAATCTTCAGTAAATATTGTAAGAAAACAGAGATGTAATTAATTACACATTACATGAGAAAATCCATTTGGATGTATAGATGACCATGGTTTACTTCAGCATAGATTCTACTTTGTCATATAGAGGAAGATAACCTTTTGAAATACAATCCCTTAAATAAGATACAAAATAAATAAACCACTTAAAGAATCATTTTTCACTTGTAGAGATATATAGTACTTCATCTTTTATCTGTAAAATATATAAGGAAATCTATGTCTTTATATTTTTATAGTTTTCTCTAAAATTGTCTTCTTTCTTCAGTGGTATTTTTCTATATATTTTTCTAACAAGTTTATTTTAAATATTTGAATAATTCTGCCCCCAACCCCAATTAAAATACATTTGTATTTCTATTGTACTCTCATAAAGAGGAAACATTTGCTATTGGTTTTTTTCTTGTTTTGCATGTATAGCTTATCCATTTACCTTGTAAAATTTTGAACAGTATGATAAGATGCTTATGCCTCCATCATTTTATTGAACAAAATTGAAAGACTTCTGAAGAGTTTCATAGTCAGTTTCTGTTTTAGTGTGTCTACCCTATATACACTGAGCAAGTCCTTCAAGAATATATAGCCCTCATCTACAAATATTTTTAATATTTATTTCTGAAATACAGGTTGTTAGTCAATTGTATTACAATTGTTCCATATAAAGTTAAGTATGTTTAATAACATACTAAACAGGTTCAACAACAAGCAAATCCTGATTTCTTGAAAAATAAAATATGGATATTGATTCATTCGTGAGAAATAATGGAGAACACAGGTAATCTTTAGTAAATTGGTGTTAATCATATCCGTGCTTCTCACATACCATTGCTAAACACACTGTAGTAATTATGATCCTGAAGAAAATTTTAAAATGCATAAATAAGACAATTGTATCTTTTGCAAATGTTTTCTTTCTATGCTTTGTTTCCATTATCTCCCAATCTAAAATGTAAGCATTTTTTAAAGCTGAAATGTAATTTGTTATGAGAGTCACGGTTACCTAGAAAATACCAGTGAGTGGCCTAGCTTCATGCTAGTGGTGTTCAAATATACAAGGCTACATTCATATTGGGACTGTTAATTTTACTGAAGTAATTGTGACCTACTTTTAAGTAATACGCCCAGTCTAGTTATAATAGTCATTCAAGTGAAAACAATGGACTATTTTCTTGGTTTTATTTTGTCTTAAGACATAGTAAATACCAAATCAAGCTACATATATTTAAATCTTTTTATTAATTTTGCATTATATTTTGCAAAAATGCAGTTTTCTTACAGTTGAGAAAAATGCAAATTAATGCATTTTCCACATTATTTTGAAACTATGTAGTATTTGTTCAGTGGTGCTCTGCCTTTTTATATTAAGATATATTTATTGATTTTTCTCTAAAACATTGAAACAGTGTAACTTTGAAAAGTTTTCATGGTTGGAAAGATTGTCCATTTTAATCTAGAACTGTCTGATAAAATCGCAAATATTTAATCTTTATTCTTTAAAAATAAGATATAATATAAGCTTTATTGTTGTCTCTCATAAAATATTTCTCAATGTCTGTTGTTGAAAAAGACCAGTTATTGAAAGTCTATATTAAACTTCCTAGAATCTGTCCAGCGTCCTTGTCAAAAGAAATCAGCTCGAGATTCAACTGACAGAATGCAGAGTTTGCAGTGTGCCTAGTATTGTTATAAAATTCCAACATACTCAACGGATGTCTTGTTTGCAGAAAATAATGTGCATTGTATTTATAACGTGGTTAAAATTTATCCAACAGCATGTTTTACTATTTCACACAAGTTTTAAAAAATAGTCACCATGGTAGAGAGCAAAATATTTTTCATTACAGCTTCAGTGGTTATCAGTAACCTATGAGCTTTGCTTTGCTGGCTGCTTACTGGTGCATTTAATAAAATAAAGATCACTCAGTGGTGCCGTGGGCAGCATGCAAGGTGATAGCCATATTTGCTTACTGTAAATACAAGAGAAAATCACACACAAACCGGCTGTAGTTTTGACAAGTATTAAGATCCCTCTTTACATCTGTACCTTTGTACCAAAGTGCAATTAGTTTTCCTCACACAAGGATTTCTGTTTATTTTATTCTGCTTGATTACTTTTGTATAATCGTATCGCTTGCTTCATTGCTCCTGGTCGTAAGCTCCAGTTTAAAAGGGGGAGGACGAGTGTGTGTAAATATACTGGATTTTTTTTTATATAAGACTTTAATTTAGGCATTTGAATAGCATCATTTTCTTAATATTTCCTTTCCATAAGGTTTGGTTCACATACATCAAATTCCTCGGCTTAATAGTTTGATCTGTGATGTATCAAACACAAAGGACCTTGCCTTTAAATTGAAAAGGAAGCTGTTTGTTATTGAGGTAAGACTATTATATACTATTTGAATACTATTTGAATACTATTTGAAAGATGGAATGTATTAAATGTTTATCCATGAATGTTTAAAAAGTAGGCCACAACCTGCAGTAACAAAGTATGACATACATATTTCTAAAGATGTCAGAAGCATATTTAATTAAATGTTAATGATTTGCTCTTAGCTGTGTTGTTAAGTGGGAAAGTGCCTAGATGTTATTCCTCCAGTTAGGATGTTAATGTGCAATACTGCCTAAAATTGAGCATGGCATGAGGGATAAATGTCTTTCTCATTATTCAGAAACAATTTCCTTTGCATTACTGGAATCACCTTTAACTCTTCCATGTCATTTTAAATATAGGATCATTTACATTAATGTTCTTAAGTAAATTTTCTACCAAATTTAAACTTCCCCCTCCCCCAACCTTCCATGAAGACAGTCTACACAGAAAGCAATAATGCAAAAGATGATTTCATTTTAGTCTTGCTAAGGAGCAGACCACTATTAGGCAGACATCAATTAGGGTTGATGTATTTATTAACCAAGTAGATCCAGAAAACTGAAAACAAAAGTTGCTTTGGGAGTAAAGGAATCTTCACCAGTACAGTCTTTGCAGGTTTTAGACAAAGGCATAAAACAGTTAAGCAGCCCTGACAAATCATTTAGTTTAATCTCTTTCAAGTGAAAAGCTGTTAAGCAGGCCACTTGCCTTAACTGCTTGAACCCATAAAAGGAAGAATTGCCACCAATATATTAGCATATTTTTAACTTCATCACCAAATGATGGTCAATGTGGCTTGGCACTGCTTTGGTGTTTGGGATTTCACCCTTAAGTGACCACTTTGGCCCTTATTTGACCCTCTGCCCTCTTTAGCTAGCCACTTGATAAGGTAACCTAAGGATTCTCTTCCAGTGCCCCTCCTCCACATCTCTCTCACTGTCTCTTCACAGTTGTGTGTTGCAATAACCTATAAATTGTTGAAAGGAGCCCATCAAGTGACAAATTAAAGTGCCCTCCTCCTAATAATGGTAATCAATGCCCTTAATCATCTAGTCCTATTGAAAGCAGTTAATAGTTAATCAAGGAGCCAGGTTTTCAACCAGGATATCTGCATGAGTATTTCAAGTTTCTCAACTTGAAGAAATGTTGGTTTCAAAAGCTACTTGAAGGCAAATGTTTTTCTTTAAAGAATTTGTGGTCCCTCTGTGTAATTTTGGGTTTTCAGAAAAAAATACATCTAATGGCAAAGCACTATATTAGTACAATCCATTTTAACATTATTTGACTTTATCGAAAAAGTTATTTTTCTTTTGAATCAGTTGAATAAAGGAGTTTAGTATTCATATGCAAGATTTTAAAATTCAGAAAACATAAATTATTTTCATTGACACAGAAAAGACAATATGTTTCTGCTATATTAAATTCCCATTTATTGTACTTTGAGCTGGGAAAAAATTCCCCTTACTATATAGACAGATCAGAACATTAACTCTGTTAGCAAAATCTCTATACTATTTCCTGTTATTATAATTTTCAAATGAAATGGTTCACAATAATAAAAATAAAAGGATGAAAAGTAATTTGATTTCTTTTAAGGCAAAAGAACTACAGAAGCACATTTTTTAAGAATAATTTCAGTCCACCCTGTTGTTTACAAATTGCTTCCTGTCCAAAAAGAGAAAAATATTGCTTTCTAACTCATCAGTTTCTTTGCATTTACCATCTTGTCCCACACTGCTAATCTTCTGCTTTTGCTTTTAAATTATAGTACCATTCTGAAGAAACTAAGACAAAGGATAATATGCATTGACAAAACAGTTGATCAAGTTACTATTAAAGTTAACAATGAAAACAGGAAAAATTCTAAAATCATTTTTTAAAAATAGATAACTATGAAGCTGAATGAATTATATATCTCATAAGCAGACTTTTTAAATAGGTGCCTAACACTTTGGAAGAGTATAGAAAGTTACATAAAACATTCTTCAAACAAATCTTGAATATAGGATTGACAATTTTAAAAAAAAAGTCCAATATATTTATATTGTCATTTTGTTTCACCCTTATGTATATATATCTTTCAAAACAACATTAAATAAATACTGATAAAGGAATTCATAATTTGAAATCAGAACAATTTCATCTATATTTTTATCACATATCTGTTGATTTTCTGTAGCTTTACAATGTGTTTCTTACAAATAAACCCAATTTTGCAAGGGCAATTCCATCACAATTCCTTTTCATTGGAGCATTGGCACGTTATTAACATATTTTTCTATTCTAATTAATATTTTATATGTTAAATATATGAATATTTACATCAAAAATCTAAAAAGTACTTTCCATATTCATCTATAGTATATATATATATTGAGCAGCATATTTTGGGCTTGGACATTAAACACTAATAAATCAATATTTATTTGTTATAATTTATACAAGGTATTGATTATCTTTAGCACAATAACTGTGTATAGTGAAATATTTACCTAACATTTCATTACCTGCTCTTTCATTGCATGTTTTAAAATCTTAGAGAAACTCTTAAGTGCCTGTCTTTTCAAAAAGGCTCATAGTTTTGAAGTTACGTTGTCTAATCCTATTTCTTCCTACTTTGGAATCTTAATTAGAAGGAGATAAAGACCATCATTTGACTAAATTATTGTCTTGAATCTGTAGCAAAAGGTATAATCCGCAATTGGGCCAATTAGTGTACCCCATCGTTAGCTATGCTGAAAAAAGCAGCTAGATTAGATCTGACACCAGCCTAGTTCCCACTGTTGTTTTGCCAGGTAGGATGGTCAGACTTCAAAGAGCTTGAGGCATCAGCAGGGCAAGGTTTGAAGGCCAGCTTAGGTCCGGTTGTTAATCTCTCTGTAAAAACCACAGCAGCCATCACACAAAACAAGCTTATACAACATAATCATGCGGTATTAAAGTTTGGGTTGAGTCATGCCAATTTGCCTTTGATTTTCTGATGATTGAATAAAAGATGGCTACATGACTAGACATATTCCCAAAATTTACTGATTAGATAAGTTCCTCAAACATTTAAAATATTTTTTTTATTTTTCAGTTAAGTATATGACATGCTATTTATTCTGATGAATCTTTCTGACAGGAAAGTATATGGAACATAATTTATATATTGAATACTTGTTTCTTGTCATTTCAAAGGAATTTATATAAAAGTTAAAAAGAAAAGCTAATGATAGTCAATTGTGCTTATTATTTTCTATTTAAATATTGGGTTACATGCTTTTCACTGATATCATTACATAATTGTTCTTTTTTTCTGCATTTTGATTTGTTAAATTTTTGAAGAAATAGTGGCATATTTCTATTCAGAGAACCCACCAATGCTACTGTAATATTATTGCAAATGATTAAAAATTGTGTCATAATGCCTTTCCCTTTGACAATTTTAGGTGTATGTATTTTTCTATTTATTTGTTCAGTCCCCCTGAGGTAGCAGGGCATCAGCGCTAGATGGAAGAGGGAGGCCAAGTAAAAAATTCAGTAGTATCCCTAACATAGCCTTTCCCTGAAAAGTAAAACATAACTTAGGCTCAAGATTTCTCATATCAACTATATAATTTGTCTTTTGTCCAGTTGCATCAGAAATCATGATGAATTTTACAATTTTTCCATGTAAGAGTTTATGCCTGTATTTACATTCCTTTGTTCAAATTTTGATCATGCTTATGCATAAAGAAATTATCTTAATTATTAATGAAGGCATTTAACCAACCCAGATTAGATCCTGCAATAATCTAATTATTTATGCCTATAACTTTGCAATTTTGCCAACCAGCCTTGGATTTAAGACACATAAATGCTATATATTTATGGATCTCCTTATTCAATTTTAAGTTAGCCAGTGACAGATATTCCGTTGTCTTTATCTGTTAAGGAAGAAGTTACATTTTATGGAGAAATTGATTTTTCTTCTCTAACTTTAAAAATACTTTGTGGACTGTTAGTATCCATAGTATATTTTTTTCACGCTCCTTCACTTCTTCATTTAGAAACAGAAATGTTGCTGTAAGTGGAGGATTAGCTGTGTTTTATTTCTGTCTAAGATCTATTTTACTCTGTATATAAAATCTCAAAATAATATACAAAAGTGGGAAAATTATCAAATATAAATTCCTAGATTAAAATAATGCTTTTATTTTTTCAACCATTTGTGTATATTGAATATTCATGAAAAGAAGTCATGCAATATATGCATGAAAGAAAACACAGAGAGTCGGATGTCGGAAAAGAGAAATCCCACCTTTCTCAAGAAGAAGCATCTTTCTTTTTTGATAAGAAGGAAGGAAATAATCTTTTCCTGTCCCTTCCATAGAGAAAGATGCTCAGGAGATGTCATAGAATGATTGCTCCCTGCATTCATCTTCCCCCAAAGAGACAGAGTTACTGCCCCTTGTCTTCCTCTGGTCAAAAAAAGAAGCATTTTTTTTCTTTGCTAAGGCAGGCATGGAACAAACTTCTCAGTGGTTTTTTTTTCCTCTGTAAAGTGAATGTCAATTATTCTATGAATCTTGTTCCCACTCCTCTAGTTTGGTGTAGTAGTTAAGGCATCTGGCTAGAAACCAGGGGATTGTGCATTCTAGTTCCTCTTCAGGCTCAGAGCCAGCTGGGTGACCTTGGGCTCACTTAGTTCTAAGAAGGAGGGAATAACAAACCACACTGGAAAAAAAAAACCTTGCCAAGAAAACTTCAGAGATTTGTCCAGGCAGTTTCTAAGAATTGGACACAATTGAACAGAAGAAATATAATGAACTCTACATTCAAATCCTTTCACTTTGCATGAGTAAGGCTATTTTAATGGTCTTCAGTTGTCACTGTTCACCCACTTTTAAAATGGAATTGCATGTGCTAAATGAATTTTATATGAGAGGAGAAAAACTTGGGCCATCCCAAATAACCTTTTATAATAGGAACTCTGGGCAATTTCTGACTGACAGCAAAGCTCAGTTGTTAAAAAAAGTGA